CCATTGGAGGACCAAATAACTCCATGAGTGCAAATCTACACACCTAGATCGCGGGTTTGGGGGAGGGATTTCTCAAAATCTAGTGGGTTTCATGGCTCAAGGTTACCACTAATATGTTTGGGAGGTGATTTTCAACAATTTTCAAGACAAACTTTGCTTGATTTGGTTGAGTATTGTGTGAGTTAGAGGGGAATGAAATTTCAACGAAAATGGGCCATGGAGGGGGTGGGAGCCGCGGGTTTGAGAGAGAGAGTGAGGGTGGGAGATGATGAATAGTGCTTGTGCACATGTGTCTTAAGTGACTTAATTGAGGTGGGCCCCACCGCCACCTCATGCGATTTCAAACTAATTCAAATCACCCGCCTATTCCGCTAAACGTCCGTAATCTCATGAACTACTTAGAAACTCTAATTTTTAACATTAACCATTATCCTTTAATTACTCTTGATCAGATGAATCCGGAGTTTTTTAATCGTTCGGAGAAATCGCAGTTTTAAGCTGTTACGCGCCCGTAGGCACGCTTCCCCAAACTTACTAATTTTCGTCAATTTTCGTCAAAAATCATATTTCCTATTCCTATACACCATTTATAACTTATACTCAAAACCTAGAGCTCAAAATTCAATCGGCACACTTTACGGTGCAACTGTACCGCAGTATCTTTACTCGGTAAAAACACTATTCACTAAATTTTCCGAAACTTGCCTAACTACTCGATTTTTCATTCTGAATCCATTTCCAGGGTTATTTTTATCATTTGAGACTTCCTACTCAATTTTACCTTCCTAGGGTTGCGTGTTTGGATAATTACCGTTTTACCTTTCCTTTGTATTTTAACCTGATTTTCAGGATTTTCACTAATCCTTCCCTTTAATCCATGTTTAATATATTAATATATAATTTAGAAATGCGAGGTGTTATAGAGCTTGGCTCCATTTCTGTTTTCATCATTTTCAGTTTTATAAAAGTAGTTTCAATCAATTTGGTATCAGAGCATCTTCGATCCCAGAGGTGCTTTCTGGTCCAGATTTAAAAAATTAAAAATTAAAATAATGAAATACAGATTTATAATGGTTCCAAAATTCTTTGGAGACGGAGGAGATAACGAAGCTTGGGGATGGCTAATTGATTTGGAACAATTTTTCCAGATTGAAGGAATCAATAAAGATCAAAAATATATAGAAGCTGTGGGAGGGCTCAGAGGGAGTGCGTTCAACTGGTATCAAGGTTGGAATTGGTCCAACCTTATCGCAAGTTGGAGGAACTTTGAGAAGGCATTTGTCGGCATTTTTCACTCAACAGAAGATGTCAATGTTGCACAAAAGGAAGAAAATACATAAGAAAATGGAGAAGAAGAAATGAGCAAAGAAAAAGAAGAAAAAACAGAAAAAGAAGTGAAAGCAGAAAAAGAAGAAGTACAAGAGCAATAGCTGCAAAAAAATAATGGCGTTCATGGTTGTTTCCATAGCTGATTTGAGTCGGATGATGACTCTAGGCCAAAAGGTTGAAGATAGAGAGGTGTTATTGGCTGTTTTCATGGCTGTTATCAACGCAGAAAAGGAAGAAATAGAAGAAGGAACAATCATCAAAGAAGAAAAAGGAACAAAAGTCAAAGAAGAAGAAGGAACATTAATTGAAGAAGAAGGAGAAGAAAAAGAAGAAAAAAAGGAGAAGAAGAAGGAGAAAGCGAAGGCAATATGTTGTTGAAGCTGCAAAGAAGGAGAGAGAAAGAAGGGGCAGAAGTGGCATTACAAGGATTGGATCAATCTTTTGACTTAATGGGCCAAGCCTAAAAGAAATATGTGTTAAAAGAAAAGAAGATGAGTTCTATTCTACCCATTAACATAACTTTAGCAATTCTGAGGGCCAGGGCCTAATACTTGAAGTGATGAAATTGGATTTGGTGCTAAAAATAATATTGGGCCAAAGGAAATGCCAATTGCAAGAGCCCAAATCAAAAGAACAAGAATTGAGACACATTTTGTGTTAAACGTTCAGAAAGTTGAAATTAGCCTCTGTTTTTTAGCCAAAAATGCCACAGCCAATAGAGAACTATCAGGAACAACAATTTTCAATGGTGCATTGGGATCTAGTGGCAATTTTTCAGTTTCAAACATAACGGGGTCAATATGCTTCAAGCTATGGGACCCAAGAGGAATATATCTCACATTACCTGTCCTCTTCCATCACCTTGAAGACAAGGTGAATTTTGGAGGGGGAGTATTGATGGGCCTTCAATAAAGTAATCAAGTCCATTAATTAGAAATTAGTATATATAGAGATGTTTAGGGTGAGGTTTCTTTTTGCATGAATTCAGTATTGGCTCATGGGAAAATTGGGGATCTATGAGTATTGAGATTTCTGGGTTTATTTCTGTAAGGAGCTTGGCTTCATTTATGTTTTCATCATTTTCAGTTTTATAAAAGTAGGTTCCATCAATTTACTTAGAGGAGTGTCATTCAATCGACTAATTAATTTTTGGGAAAAATATTTCTGCAGTTACTGCAGATAAGTTATCTGCATTTATTCTCAAAACGACATTGTTTTGGTATTGAAATCTTAAATAATTATAAATATAAAGACTATTATAACCCTGAAATAAATTAAAATTATAAAAAAAATCATAATTTTCGCCTCAAAACGACGTCGTATTGAGCTTACTGGAGATAACTTATATGCAATAACTACAAAAAAAAGCGAACCCTTAGTTTTTTTTTCCTTCTCAAATCATCGTACACTAAAACACTCGTTTGATGTTAAAAGTACTTTGGCTTTATTTATTATTTTTGGTATTCATCCCTTAACTGTGAAATCGTCTTCCTACAAATTTTCTATCTTGATCACTTGTCGCTTATCGTACCTCAGTGTTCTCAATTTGGTTTCTTGGGTCATTGCTCCACATTCAAGCAGAAACCTTAATGCTTTTTAATTATCTTTTTTCTGAGTTAAAATTATTCGAAACTTAATTTCTAAAAAATTTCGAAAAAATTTATTAATATCTTTCATAGTTTAAATAAGGGGCAAGTTATATTTACAAACTTTTCTGTTTACAAACTCTTACAAACTACACTATGTTCTCCCGGGAAAACACTGATTACACTATGTTCGTTCTCCCGGAAGAACATAGTGTAATTTGTAAAAAATTTCAAAAAAAATTTATAAACAGATCTGTTTCCTTAAAATAATACATAAAGTTGAAATCTCCCGTTACAATGTGGAAAGTTCAAACCAAAATCTGCATGAGAGAGAAGTTCATTGTAATGCAAAATACAAAGGCCATGGGTAACACCTATGAGACTCGCTGGTCACGGATGAAATTGTAATGCGAAAGCATTTAGTCGAGTAAATTGTGCATATGTTAAATGAACAGATTTCCCATATAATTATGAGATTGTTTATTTGTTTATTTTTGGATTTCATGACTTTAATTATTTTTTTGGAGCGAGTTAAGTTCTCCAAATATTTTCATGATCTGAGAAAAATAAGACATGCACAAGTGTAAAACTAATCCTGAGTGGAATGTTATAGCAATTATTCAATTCTAACTTTAAACTCTAAAGGTCCTATCCAAAACCCTCCCTCTCATTTTTTTGGCAATTCATTCGTCATAGGTTCATATTATTACTTGAGTCAACCCTTAGGATTAATAGATTCCTCATATCAATTACCCATAAATCAATCCTATAAATACAAAATCAATCACCTATAATTATAGGGTTAATCACACATAAATTGATTCCATAAAAACAAAATTAATCACCCATAATTATAAAATCAATCATCTACAATGATAGAATCTGCCACCCATAATTTGACCACTTAAATAAAAAAAATTAATCATCCATAATTACATATTTAATCAATTAATACACATAATTAATACCAAATTCATAATAATTTATACATATATTAATTTGGATGTGATCCTATGTACTATTCAGCAATTCTATTTCAACAAATCATAGGCACATTCCTACAAGTAGATTCCTTGCATACATGTCTTGAAATAGAAGATTACATAATATCCGTTTGTATACAAATTTAACGATATTTTTATATAACTGACATAATCCTGCTTTATTTTATGGTTTATTATTCATTAAGAAGTACCATCAAGTTTTCCAAAACAATATGATATGTCATCCAGCACCAAAACTGGCAGACAATGTGCAAATGTTTGGCTACAAAACTTTTTTGGCATTCTCTTGTCAAGGGGTTTCTCAACCATTGGCTCAAAAGAGGCTGAATATTCTGGAGCGTATTGAACCTTACGTTAAGTAAAAGAATCACATGACATGTTTGTGGAATATTATACCACAACTAATTGCGCAAGTTTGGCCCATTCAGGACATGTCCAAACATATGCTCCCAAAAGGACATTTCGTACGAACTCATGGTTTCTTTTTTATTATAAGTTTACATCTTGTATTCAAGAATTTGTAATGAGGCGTTAGTAATGAAACAAGGATGGGTGTTAATTATTTAGTCAAATTTCCTTTGTGAGAGAATCTTTGGAAGTAATTAGAGATGTGGGCCTTCTCATACTTGGTGCAGCATTTTGTAGCCCATGGAGTAACGTGGAAACCAAACTAAATGGAATATGGGAAATAAATGGTCAGCGAAATGACAACACTCGAACATGAAGCTACTACATATGTTACACCTTGAGAGATTATCACACAGACCTGGCCTTACTAGTGATGGTTCTTCTTTAAACCCCATCAGCATATCAATTTCTCGGTCCAAACACTGAAGGGTGCTAATATCGTTTTTTTTTTTATTACTCAATTTATAACATTTTACATAAAATATACAATTCAAAAAAGAGAATGCAGTAGTTTTTTGTTTTGTTTTGTTTTGGCGGGGTGGGGGGTGGGGGGTTAAAATTCCTATATATTTAGAAAGTTTTGTACATGGCCCATATAAAACGAGTTTAGGCCCAAACGCACAAAAAGGGTTGAAAGCTTACACTCTTCCAGTATTTTACTTTGGTGTCACACAGTGCCAGCACACTAGCTTGCCCAACTTGGAGTACCGTGAAAATGGTGGTGTCCTCGCTTTCCAAGAAGATCGTGAAGAAGCGCCTCAAGAAGGTTAAGAGGCCTCGCATCCTCCGAAATTTCACACCTAAGGTGGGTAACCAATTTTCTTTTTCTTTTTTCGTTTATTTTTAAGCTTATATGTCCTTTTTTTTTATGTGCTTAATGGGTAACGAGGTTTTTTTTTTTTTTAATGTCTTTTAATATGGGTAATCCTTTACTTTATTACATTATATCTCTCTAACACTATCTGTAGTCATTAGTTCTTTTAAAGTTTTGATTTTTGTTGTTTATTTAGGTGGAATTTTATATCCTCATGGAGGAGGATTATTCAGTTGTCATTTAAGAGGATATGACGATAGTCTTAATTTGTACCACAAACAAATTTCATTTCCCTTATTTTTTTAATTTTTTTTATTAATTTTTTTTTTTTTTGGGATCTAGATTATTAGCTTGTCCGTTTTTGTCTAAATTGGATTTTGTATCTTCATTTTCATAACTTTGTCCCCTTTTTAATGAGTTTGTGGTCAAATGGGATATGGGAATAAGTTTTGGCATTAGTTGCTCTTTTGGTGCAGTGTGTGTGGTTAAAGTTTAAGTGTCTGATCACTGATGTCTTCATCAATATGTACAAATAGACCTATCTTATTGTGAACAAACAATTTTATTTGACACCAACTTTTGCTTGTGTCTATTGATCAAGTGTCGACGATTTATGTTTTTGTCTGAACCCTGTGTATTATGATTTCCCCCAAAACGTTTAAATTTTTATATCATGAGAAACGATGATGATGTTTATCTTTCAATTCTGCAATAGAGTGATGATCACTAACATGCACTACCATCTGATCTCTTGCATATTTTTTAAATATATATTTTCAATCTAATACTCTATTCCTTAGTAGTTAGTATCTCGCATATGAATGCATAATGCTTTACTTTATTTCTTCTTTCTAAATGTCGTCTGTCATGGATTCATATTAAAGCCTAATTACACTGTTCTGCAATCTGATATGAATGTTCTTTAGTGTTCTGATTAATCTGTGATTAATACACTAAAATAACCATCTTTTGGCTGAGATTGCAGATCAGTACTCTTGTTTTGTAAAACTTAAAATATGATTCCTATTTGTTGACCATGTTTTTTATGTTCACAATTATGTAGTTAGACATTTCTTTTGAAGGGCATAGAGAGATTTTATACCTGGACAAAGTGGGCTTGCTTTTAATATTACCCTTCTCTTATCATTCCCTTCTAAATCTTGAATTCATGCATAATAGGCTTGGAGGAAAGCAAGAATGGGGTATCATAGCAGCCGGAAATCAGTCCAAAGGAGCCGCAGTGGTCCCCAAACAGAACCACAAATGCTGGCGCAGATAGAGACCAAGAAAGCACAAATACAAGATATTGAAAGTGAAATTCTCATTTTACAAAGAGAACGTCAGGAGTTGGTTGAAAAAATTGAGTTACAGAACAAATTCTTTTCGGAGATTTTAAAGGAGAAAGAGAAGCTGGAAGAGAAATTTAAAGTTCTACAAGCGGTTGTAGGGTTGAGGCTGCAAGCCCAGGAGCAAGAAGCAGAGAAAGAAGAATGGAAGAAGAAATATACAGATATGGTAGAATTTGCTCGTGAATTTGTAAGCTGCTTTGAAAAGGCAAATGAAGCTGTCTCCGCTGATTCTAGTTTTTGTCTACCTACTGGGATAAGAGAATTCATGGAATTCTGTGGAAGGTTTGTCACAGAACTTAGAGTGTGTTTGGAAAGTTAAAAAAGAAGGGAATTTAATTTGATTTAACTTGTGTTTCGAATGTTTGGAATGTTAAAAACCCTGAAAATTTCACATTTGAAGTCCATGATTTCTGTTGCTAATGGAGAAACTTATGGATCCATGTTGTGTTCACTTATATTATGGATGAATGCTTGGTAATATATAAAGTTTGAATGGAAGAGACATACTTGCTTCATGGTGAGATTTAAACTCACTTGTCGAAATGAAAGTAGCAGGGTATTTTTTTGTTGCCATTGATTGAAAATGTTATGGATGAATTCTTGGAAATTCTTGGAAAGAGGTGTGTGCCCTTTTTCATGTGTTATATGCTGCCATTAGGTATGGTCGGAAAAAAATGTGATGTATGTATATTTTTCCACCAGCATAACCTTCTAAATGGAATATTATATTTGAGTATGATCAAGGTTTCATGTATTCATATATTTTATGAGTAAATATTTAGTTATATAATACACTTTATTTATTTTGAACACGATACTAAACCGGGGGATTAATCATTTTAGGGAAAAGTGTATGTTTTTTTAAATGACACAGCTTGTGTCATTTTACTTTCACAAAGAGGTGGGACTCTCATCTCTCACTTAAAATGACATAATTTTACATCCTTTAAAATGATACACATTTTTTTCTTCATTTTATTATAGAATCTAAGATAAACTGAGTAATGGTCCCTATCACAAGTAAGAGATGTTTATTCAAGCATATGGGAATTTGAATCCAGTTGATTCTTAAACTCATAGCAATGCTTTCAATAACATTATCCTACTTCATTTTTTATTTCTTAATATTAAATTTAAATATTTTAATTTTGCTAGCATTTTCGTTTGTTAATTGTTTTTGAATATATCAAATTTCTCATAGTAACATGTATTGATTTCTTCTTCCTTCAGTCAATTATAAATTTACAAGAATTCTTTCAATAGCATTAGCCTCCTGGCTCTTTATTAAATTCAAGTGTTTTACTTTATTTTTATTATATTTAATTAATTATATTTCACTTATTGTCGAATCCTAGATTTATGAAAATCATTTCAATTGTATTATCTTATATAATTATTTATTTCGTCTTATTAAATTCACTTTTAAATATTTCTTTGCACTGCTATCTAATAAAAGATGTTGTTAACTCTTTATTTAATTTAATTTAATTTATAACTCATGTTTATGAGTATCACACTATCACATTCTCAATCGAATCCTAAATTTATACCATTCCTTTTAATAAGACTATGTTCTTAAGTTTAGCATTAATCTTCTTTGAATGGTCTTTGATTAATCGTATATTGTTTATTTAATATTAAACTCTTACGATTTCTTCTTATTATTTTTTTCTCGAATATTCAAATCCTAAATTTATAAGAATAAATGAAATATCTTCTTTGCATAGCATGACAATTTGCAATTTGTATCACGTTTAAAGTAAAACATATGACCATATAAATAGTAAACGCACATTATTAATTAGTACTCCTATAATTGTTTGAATCCAGATCATAATTCAATATCCCAATGGCGAAAAGAAAAATAAAAACTTTTATACAATAAAAGAGCACTATTACTAATCAATCATGAAAATAAATTGAAAATAAATTAAAATTAAATTTAGAAGTCCTTATTCCCCATTGACGTGCCATAACAATGGTTGGATGCTACAAATTGATCCAAGATATCTCTAGAGAATGAGAGAAAGGAGAAAGAGGAGATATCAACAACACATTAGTGGAGACAAAAACAATAAGAGACTGTTTGGTATTTGTTTTTTTAAACTAAAAATTATTTTAAAGTTAAAAGAAAGAGCTTAAAAAATAAAGTTAAAAAGTTGTTTGATAATTATATAAATATATTTTTAAGATTTTGAAGTGATGGAGATGAAATAATTTATTATTATGGTAATTATAACAGTAAATAATAAAAAAATTAAATAAAAACTTACAATAAAAGTATAATTGAAAAATAAATGTAAGAATTGTAAATGATATATATTTTAAAAACTCCTCATAGGATCTATTCCAGCATTTAGAATTTGGTTAATAGGTAAAGATACGTGTACTTGATGCCCCGTCCAAGAAAGAGACCCGAGTCCTAGGAGCCTTGCCAAATGGTGATTCAACATAGATTCTACATCTTGGAACCAAACCAATTTTGGGGCAGCTTATCCGAAATTTTCTTGAATCAGACTCAAGAAAAGAATATTCTAAACAAATTCATAGAATTCAAGGAACTGTTCCTATTGGATGAAATGCTAAGGTGGTGTTTGGTTAAAAATTTCTTAAAACTTACCTATGCAAATCAAATTAGCAAAGTAAAAAAGCAATGTTTGGTAGATGGTTTTACAAAATTTCTCTAGGTATTGTATTTGCATAGCATTCCTTATTTGTTCATAAAAAGCAAGGCAAAGTTACTATTTAGAAAGACAACTTGAGGGTGGCATTTTACATTTAGCTAGCTAAATGACAAAAGAGCAACCCACTAATATACTTAAATACCCTCATCTAAAGTGCTAAGGGTTCACTTTTTTTATGGGGTTATATTTGTAATTTGAAGTTATTTCTCCATCTATATTTTACCTCAAACCAAACATAGACTTTATAAATCTTACCTAATTTGCCCAATAAATTTTTTTCTAATCAAACAACTTTTTTTACATTTTTCCACCAAACTCACTTTTCAACCATTTCCCTATCAATTACATTTCTCTATTATTCAAAAAATTTCTCCTCAACCAAATGCCCCTAAAGGAATACTAGGAAACACGTCTACAAAACCTCCGTACCGGAATTTATAAGAGCTCTTAGTTTTTAATTGTTTTTCTTCTTTGTAAAAAAGCTCTTTTATAATAAAAACTTTAATAAAGTTATATTTGTCTAAGATTGTGTTTATAAGTAGAAGAAAAATTAAAATAAGAGCCCACACAGACACTAAATCAAAACAGGAAAATACCCATAATATGACGTAAACAGTTGATAGAGTAACTGCTCAAAAACAAGGAATGCAAGAAAATTTATTTATAATAAAATAACATTATTACAAAGTTTGTGAATATGAATTATCTTTCCATTTTTATTTAAAGAACTTGTTGCCACAGATAAGAAAAATAAGGAAAAATTTGATCTAAATATTTTTCTTATATTTTATTCAATATACAGTACAAATAAATAATATCTTATGACTTAAATTAATGAGATAAGTTATCTCCAGTGAGCCCAAAACGACGTCATGTATTTGTAATTATAATATATTGCAGGGTCATATTAGTCTTTATAATTATAATTTTTTAATTTTATAACTCAAAACGACGTCGTTTTGAGTTCACTGAAAATAACCTTATCTCCAGTAATTGAAGAAATACTTTTTCCTAAATTAATATCACATATATCAAACGATATTATTTTTACATTAATTTTGTTTAAAAATATATTATATTTTTTTTTAATTATAACATTATGCATAAACAATATAATTATAACATAAAGTGCTATGCATAACATCGAGTACAGAAGGATAACCAGTTTTTAATTGGGCCAATTAACCTAACCCAATTAACATAGTCGGGTTCACGGTCCAAAACATAACAGGCCCGCTTCATCTAAAAGCCCTTGACGCATGTTAATGTTATATATCTATATATAAGGGTTTCAGTGTTACAACTTCCGCAGCTTGGGAAACCCTAATTACGCAGTGAGTAAAAATGGCGGTGCCCTTGCTTTCGAAGAAGATCGTGAAGAAGAGGGTCAAGAAGTTCAAGCGCCCTCAGAGTGATCGCAAGATCTCCGTCAAGGTCAGTACCCATTTTCACTGTTCTTTTTTAATCTTATATAGTTAAGAATTTTATTATTATTATTATTATTATTATTATTATTATTATTATTATTATTATTTAGGTTACATGAATATTATTGTAAAAGGATATGATGATAGTTTTTGTCGCCCCAGTCTTAATTTGCACCACAAGGTGTAAGATGGTGACTGACGTTTTTATCTGATCCTCCTATTTTCAAATAATTTACTTTTGGTACATAAAAGATGCTATTTTGACACCCATTGTAACTTTGTGTATATTGATAATGTGTTAATGGTGTATGTTTTTATCTGAATCATCATGCCTGTGTCTCTGTTTACGGTTTCACCTGAAATGTTTATCTTTTGTTGTTGTTGCGTGTAATGAGATATGAGGATGATTATCCATCAATTCTGCAATAGAATGATGATTACAAACATGCACTACCATCTGATCTCGTGCTAATTTTCATATCTTGTTTTTATTTCTGATCCCTAATACTATTTTTAATGGTATTTCATACATTTTATAATTTTTTTCAGATCAAGATTACAATATCTAAATTTCTTTGTTTTTTCTCACTAAATGTCTGATGTATAATTAAGTTAGAACTAAATACTGTTCTGCAATCTGTTATGAGTTTATTTTAACGTTCTGATTAATCTGTGATTATTTTACTAAAATCACCATCTTTCGGCTGAGATTGCATATGGGTACTCAAATCTGGCTTGTTAATATCACCTGTTTTAGAACTTTATTCCTATTTTTTAATTGTTGCCCATGTTTTTTATGTCCGGACTTCAGTCTATTTCTGTAGCTTGACATTTCTTTTTATACATGGACACTCTAGTTATTTAGGCATGTTTGTGGAGTAGGAACCCATTCATCTGTTGGTTGTTTTGCTTACTTAACCTTGTTGAGCCTGAGTATCAAATGGTTTGAATTTGGTTGCTTTTGTTCTAATTTAACAATGTTTTGTAACAGCCAAGCTGGCGCAGACCCAAGGGTATTGATTCTCGTGTCAGGAGGAAGTTCAAGGGATGCACTTTGATGCCAAACATTGGTTATGGCTCAGACAAGAAAACACGCCATTATCTACCCAATGGTTTTAAGAAATTTGTTGTGCACAATGTGAAAGACCTGGAACTTCTCATGATGCATAACAGGTGAAGATGTGAAGTAATTCATCCCAACTTATGGGATTTTAATTTACTGCTATGCATTAGAACATTTGCTAAATGCTATTTGTTTTTATGACATTTCAGGACTTACTGTGCTGAGATTGCTCACAATGTATCCACAAGGAAGAGGAAGGATATAGTTGAGCGAGCTGCTCAGCTTGATGTTGTTGTGACCAACAAAACAGCCAGACTACGTAGCCAAGAGGATGAATAAATCTGAATGTCTGGGAATGTCATTTATGTTTTGTAGTGAGCTTTGGTTGACACCCCTTGTGGTAGTTTTTGATCGTTTTTGTTATTTATTTTGGCCAAAATCTGTTTCTTGTTATACATTTATTTTCTTGGTTATTATCTTTCCTTCACAATGCTTTCTATCTTAGTATTGCTATTATCTTGGTTCTAGTTCACAGTTATCGATTTTGGAGGTTTATTGTTTTTTCTTTTACTTGGTAACATTGTGTGTATTTTTAGCTAATGACGGTTAAGTTGGCATTTATGGGGTGTTTTAGATTCAGTGCAATTGGATATAAAATGTTTGGCAGGACTAAAAAGTTTATAAATGAAACTAGTTATCTAATCCATACTCAAGGTAAAACTAGTTTTAGTAAAAGTGTTGAGTTGGTTTTTCTATTGTTTTTCAATTAGCGACTCTTACTTTTTTCCTAGATCCTTGTTTTGATTTTTTTCATTATCGCTTCACTTTCTTTTAATATTTGAATTAAAAGTTGTTCTTTGTATCTTCAGTTCTTTAAATTTTTAATTTTGTTTGTGATTTAAAATTTTAGAATTGGTTTACGACAGATTAAACCAGACTAGATAAATTAAAACTAATTAAAAAATGACGTGTATAAACTGAAAGTTGTCACCTAAACAACTTGAAATTAAGTTTGATTTTTTTTACATAGTGACCTTTAGATGTTATTTTGTAGTATTGGAATGCAACAAATAATTCCAAGGAATTTAAAATATAATTGAGAAGAATCAAATCAATTTATTATTGGATTATTAGAGACTTTTGTTTTCATGATTGTTAAAAGTTTTGTGTAGAATTGTGGCGTTTGGAGGAGGATCATTGGCCGATCATTTGAGTGAAGGAGTAGGGAATGGATTTTTTCATGTAAAAAAGTAGTTATGTAATTATGTTATTTGATCACAATCACTTATTTAAAAATTATATTTTTTTTTCTTTTTTATCTTATTATCAACGAGTGATTGTGATCAAATAATATAATTATATTATCACTCTTTCACATGAAAGGATTCATTCCTGAAGGAGTAAAGGGAGAATATGAAACAGACACTACAGGTCTCAAAGAGCAATATCAGACCACTTAAAAGCTTCAGGTAGTTAACTACTTGACACAAGTCATAATACGAGCCTCGAAAGAATGAATTGTCTCATACATGCTTGGGATTAGTCTTATATATGTAGGTATTGGTTTCTTTCTCCTCATGATGTGTAGAAATCGGAAATTTGACTCACCAAGTAATTAGGTTCATTAAAAAAAATTCAATTAGTTTATTTTGGATTAACAAAAAAAAAAAACCGTAATAGTCATATTTTTTATTCTTTTTAAAATATTTGTATTGAATAATTAAAAATATTTCTTATGATGAAATATTTTAAATTTTCATAAAAAAAATTACATTTGTTTATAGGAACATTTTATCCACACGAGATATCAAGTTCTTGTTCACATTATGCTTTCTAATAGTTTCCTCACTTACAGTGAATTGACGCTGTCTATTAAAACCCTTTGCAATTGTAAATCTATCTCGTGTCAGGGACGCCTTAAAAAGGTAACGAAGTTGAAATCTTTCTGTAACTTTTGATCTAATTTCAATGGAATGTTCAAAAGGTCTTGTAACCAATATATTCCTATAGAAAAGGCTGTAAGCACAATACTCGTCGCCTTCCAAACGAGTAATTTTTCAATAGTACTACGTACTTTATAGTTTATTCCTTCCAAACGCTCTATAGTTTGTCCGTAAATATCAATAATATGTAAAGCCTTTACAGATAAACTCATAAATAAGATTTTAGAAGTTATAAATTGTGTACAATTTCATCAGAGAAAATCTTGTCGCAGCGAAAATAAAAAATATTATATCATAAATAAAAATACTTGAAATACAATACAAATTTAATATACAAAAAATTGAAAGAAATCTATTACAGAAATTAATATCACTTCAGTTACTCTTGCTCTACGTGTTTTCATATTATTAAATTTATATATAATTGAATCCGTACTAAAATTCAAAATAATTTCTTTTTCAACGTATGTAATTAAAAATAGTCTATGACTATACATACATGCAATGATCTTAGGAAGGTGGAAGTTGATTCTACCTGGCTCTAGAATTTACACAGCCAAAATCGAAAGGTTAAAGAAGGAGGTTGGTGATTGATGGACACGAAAATGAGAGAGAAGATGATATGATGTTCTCAAGGAAAAATATGGGTAAGGGTGCGTTTGTTAGAGGAGACATTTTTTTTTACCAGAGAAATATAATTACTAGGAAAATGGTAGAAAAGTCAGTTTGATGAAAAAATTAAAAAAAAATGTTTGGTTAACCGAAATATTATCGGGGAAATTTATTTAAATTTACAAAATCTATGTTCGGGAGGAACTTCGCACCTGTTTTTCCACTTTCCTAATTTTCTCAAAATACCACATCTCAAGTAATATTTTGCAACACTAAATTTCACCTAAAAATCAACACCAAAGTCGTTTCCGCCTTCCTATTTGCCTAGTATTTTTTTTCAAAAACTTGAACCAAACGCGATATTTTTCAATACCCACCCACACTTTCCCATCAAACCCAAAATAAAACTTATACCAAACACACGCTAAGAGTGTGGGCAGAAGTATGGGGAACTGAATGAAAAAACGTGTACAACACGATAATTTCATCATCACATTTTTTTACATATACTATAAAAAAAAATTCAAATTTTAGAGGGAGCAGAGGCCCACCCTAACCCCCCTACAGATCCGCCCTGATCATATAGTTTAATATACTTCTTGTAACTTACATATTCTTTAGATATTACGTACGTATATAAACATTAACTTGTAAACATGATATTCTGTTAAAGCCTATAAATAACTAATCTACTGTATGTCTTTTGATCAATTTATGATTTATACCTCTTTGAGATTATTTACCATATTTTTAAGTAATAGTTGAAAAAAAAGACTGACTTTTCTATAACACTAGAAACTTATACGGATTTTTTTTTTCTCTCTCCGTATTTTAGAAGAAAATAAGATTATATTATAAATTTTATTAAAGTACATTGCATTTTTTTTTTCAAATCCCAAAACATTTTAGAATTACGAGAGATAACTTTATTTCTAATTGCACCATAAACACTAATCTCAAACTTATATTACCCTTATTAGTTAAAAAGTGATACTAATCTATGCTCTTGCATAGGTTACATCAATGTTATTTTAGTTTATGAGGAATATATAAATTGTATCCAATATATATATGGGAAAAACTACTCTCATGTCACTTGACATAAGTTTTTTCTCCTACACACCCTTCAATAAATGTGTCACATTTTTTTTTCTTTTCTTTTTTCAGGTGATGGAACCCACTAGTTTGTCTCTATGACATGAGATAACTATCTCTTTTAACATGAGATTAATAAAACTCTATATATATATATATATATATATATATATATATATATATATATATATGTATATAAACGGGTATATCAAATAATAATTCCGTTTTAAAAAATTTAAAAAAAATATATTTTTGGTGGTTAAAAAATCGTTTTCTGATCCAAAAGAAAAAAATAAACTGTTTTAATAAAAATAAATCAATAAACGCAACTAAATAATAAATGCATGCACATTAGTGCTTAAATTAATTAGAAGTAGTGTAAGCCTTTAGAAGGGAGGACAGGGACCACAATATTGCAAGAAGAGTCCAAAAAAGGCAAAGAATATCACTTGCCTGGGATAACAAACAACTAGGAAGTTCAATAAGGTACTAATACTATACTTAAATAAACAAACCTTAAAAATGTGAGGCAAGTCAGAATCAGGATCAGGCATATTTTCTCTTGCCTTGAATTTGAAGCATGAAGCATCATCTTTACAACCCTGCATAGCCCTTTTGAACTAGCAGCCTTCACAAGTAAAGAACCAAACCTTTCATCCACTTCTCATATATAAGAGCCTTCTCTTGCACAAACCACATGCATCCAGGTCCTGTGTTTGAGCTTTCCTTCACAACTTTTTCGGCTTCTGAAATTCCCTTAGCTCTTTCTGTTTGTTCCAAGCAGCTTTTTCCCTTGTAGAAAACCACATACTACAGAGATGGCAAATGAGCAAATGAAGCCTATTGCCACCCTTCTTTTGGGGCTGAACTTCTGCATGTATGTCATAGTTTTGGGGATTGGTGGATGGGCCATGAATAGAGCAATAGATCATGGTTTTGTTATAGGTGAAGTGTACTATCTTTCCTTCATGGAAGCTCCTCCATTCTTTGTAATTTTACTACTTTAGCTAGTATGCTTATGTTGTGTGAGAAACTATGCAGGCCCAGGATTTGATCTTCCAGCTCATTTTTCACCCATATACTTCCCTATGGGAAACGCTGCAACTGGGTTCTTTGTGACATTTGCTATGATTGCTGGAGTTGTTGGTGTTGGATCAGTCATTGCAGGAATCAATCATATCCGTTCATGGACTTCAGAGAGCTTGCCATCTGCAGTTTCAGTTGCTTCCATTGCATGGACTCTTACACTTCTTGCCATGGGGTAATCTATTCCTCCTCCTCCTCCTCCTCCACACCAATCACCACAAAAAATTGCTTTGCATTGATATAGCAAATTGCATAGTATCATAGTTACTGACATTACTAGTATATAATTTTGTGCAGCTTTGCCTGCAAAGAGATTGAGCTTAACATCAGAAATGCCCGCCTGGTATGATAGGAAGATTCTATTTACTGTCATTTTCTTATGTTTGAAATGCTAGAATTTCCCCTTAACAAGAGCTTTGAAATGTCCAATTTTGCAGAAAACAATGGAGGCTTTTCTGATTATCCTTTCAGCAACACAGCTTTTCTACATAGCTGCTATTCATGGTGCTGCAGCATTGAGGAGATAAACTTGATAGTTGAGTGAATGTGTTGATTTGATTGTCTTTTTCTCTCTCTTCTCTTATCTTTTTTCTTACCCCTTTGACTTATTCTTTTTCTTTCTTTCGTTTTTTTTGGTCCAACATAGTCTTCCTATTTACAAATTTCATTGGAGAATTGGCAAATTGTGGTGTGATTTGTTATGTGATTGGATTTGTATTTATTGAGAATAAATTGTGTACAAAAATATTTAAAAATAATATTATCTGTGCCAATTTCTTTTGTTGCTTTCTACCCTTCTTCAACGTCTCACTGCCACTAGAGCAATTAGAAGTAAAATGTACACATAATCCTGCAAACTTCAAATATCTGTACAAAGCGTAATAAGAATACCAAGCTGCATCACCTTGATGAGCATTTACTGGTCTTTACAAAACATAGCAAAAGAGATTCCAAATATCCTTTTTCTCGCAAGACCATCTGAGTAAAAATAAGTTGCCCCTAGATCCCTTTCTAAGGGTAATAATAAAGCTGTGACTTGTCCCCTAGAACATAGTTGACTGATGATTGTTAAGCAATCTTAAATCAGTAGATCTTTAATTGGTCTTTACAAGAGTTTGACTCGCCTCATTCTGGTTGTCGTGACAAACTTGAAAGGGACTATGTAGGAGTAGTTTGGTCTAGGAGGTGTTCCTAGTTTCTTTTTTTGTTTTTCTGTTTCCTGTTTGCTTTTCAAAAAAAAAAAAATCAGTAGATCTTTCATATATATATATATATATAGGGGAGGGATCTTTTGACTCTAGAGTAAGACTTACAACTCTTACTCTTCATCTCAACCGTTGATTTCCGTACATCTAACGGTTATCTATAACAATTAATTATTTGTTTATTTTAAATAAATAGTAACCGTTAGATGGACGGAAATCAACGGTTGAGATGAGGAGTAAGAGTTTTAAGTCTTACTCTAGAGTCAAAAGATCCCTCCCCATATATATATATATAGGGTTCTTTTGACTCCAGAGTAATTACTCTCCATCTCAAGCCGTTGATGGACGGGAATCAACGGTTGTCATTTATAGTGTAATTAAAAATTAATTAATTAATATAACTTCCTAAACTATAACCGTTGGATGAACAGAAATCAACGACTAGGATAAAGAGTAAGACTTATATATAGAGAAAGATCATTTGACTCAAGAGTAAGACTTATAAATTTTACTCCTCATCCTAGCCATTGATTTCCGTCCATCCAACGGTTATAATTTAGGAAGTTATATTAATTAATTAATTATTAATTACACTATAAATGACAACCGTTGATGTTAGAGGTTTAAAAGGTACTACATAAGTCACTAAAATAAGTCTGGCGAAAAATTTAAGTAAATTGTATTATTAGGTTGTGTTCAATTCCCACTTGTATCTCAAAAAAAAAAAAAAATTAGTACATTGTAAAACCGGGGAGATAAGCAGAACTATGACAAGAATAATAACTGCAGACGTAAGAAAAAAAAGTAGTTTAAAAAGTTTTGAAGACTCGGGTATATTGAGAGTTGAAACTGTTGCGAAAATAATTACTACAGCAAAATTCCCTGTATACAAGCCTCATATGGATCATAAACTTGGGACTGCTGCACATTATTTTTTGGAAAATCTCAAAGAAGAATATAGGTCAAAATATCACAAAATTTTCTGAACGAAATCCTTCACAAGTATGGCCCAATCAGATCCTCGTGCTTGTGTTTCTGCAAGAGAAGCAAATGACCAATGATGTCAACAAAAGCTCAATTTGGGATTTCAAAAATCCCCATAGTCAGCATTATAGAAATATAAGAGAATTCATAAATTGATAAATACAATTGCAAATAATTAGCAAGCAAGCAAACAAAGCAATGCACTGTATACAGAATTACAGATACAATTCTGCTATGTTAAGATTCTTGAAACCCAGAAAATCTGCGGTCTCAGTTCTCAAATTTACTCAGTTAGAGAATATCTGATGAACTAGAACACAACCCAAAATATCTGATGACTCAGAGAATAAAATAGAAAGTACAAATACATAAATTAAAATAAAAGGATGAAAAATAAGTAAATAAACTTGTGCCAGTCCTGGACTGTTAGGAGCTAGAGCACAATTTTGACAGAATAAAAAAGCTTAAAAATCATCACAATTTAAGACTGAAAAGGTTGCAGAGAAAAAAATATGTGGCAATGCGATGGTGTGAACAATTCCATTCAAGTGTTTGTGTGACTGTGTACTCTAATGGGCAAGAGAGAGACTTGTCACGGTTACACTAGTGTTCACAGGTCAGACCAAAAACCCTCAGGTTTAAAGCATTAGAGAAGACATAAGACTGAATAATGGAGACCTACAAGACAACTATGTATATTTCTTTATTCAGCATTCACAAGCAATCATAAAATAATTCCTAACTCCAAGCAATGATTTCATTTCACCAAACACTATTTAACAATGGTCATGGCCTTCCGATAAAGCAAAATTACAATGCTCTAGATAATTGAATTTGACCAGTACTTAATATCTTCCCAAAGCATAAATAATGTCATTTTAGACATGTTAAGACAAAAATTCACTGTTGGTTCAACTTGGACTCTTAGGCCAAGCAGTTCATAGACATTTTGTCAAAATATAATTTGTCAATTCTTCAAGCACAATTGGCCTGTTTTGTGAGAGGGTGAATTACAAAATCTATTCTTGAGCCCACATAACAACTTAAAATTTCAGGTCAAGCAACCGTGTGAACAGCTATTTCCACTTCTTTGGCCTCAAAACATCAAATATTACCTACAATATTATTACCGAGTGAATATATTTGTGGATTTCAAAAAGTACTGTCCTTTTCCAAATCAACAGCCACAAATTACATTAAATAATAAATCCGTTCCTTTTCCTGAATAAATTATGATTCATTTTTATTTTCTTATAATGATTTGTGGCACAAATATGTTATCTCCTAACTTTGTCATTGTATACTCCATTATTGGATGAAAAACATGACTATTAAAACCAGAATACACAGCATAATTCATACATGAAAACAAAAATAAGAGATGCCATCAAAGAAGACCATAATCAACTGAGCAGTAATTAGTGAATACAATAACACCATCAAATTTCTCTTCTAAAACCTAGAAGTCATAAATTGAAGATAATCAGACTAGTTAGCAACAATGTAACAAGGTAAGCAACCAAAACAATCAAAAACAGGCATGAGAAAGCATATATGTACTGTGAAATGGCAATAAAGCTTTTGAAGTTAGCAGGGAGCTCAAACGTCAAAAATAAATAAATAAAAAAACATAAATATCCGAGATAAAATAATCTCCAACCTGTACTTATCTATTGGAGCCTAACAGAACTTCGAACAGTCCACAGCAACTCCACCAGGAGGTCTTTTGCTCTATACACGGAGCTGATGCTACTGGAGGCTGCACATCAATCAGAAAACAAAACCAGATTTTAGATAATTGTTAACAAAAAGTTCACAAACCAAAAGTGTCTCATGAATATATAACCTCATTTTCAGAGCATTCTGGAGTGTCAGAACCATTAACATGTTCAGCACCATTAGTAGATTCAGGGATATGACTATGGGACACTGATTCTGGTACTTTATTGTCAATTTCCTTTGGCTTAGGTTCCTCCAAACCTGATTTTCTATCGTTCTCATCAGAGAAGGGATATACTCTATCTTCATTTTTCTTCATCGCAAGATCAGTTGCTCCTACTTGAGAGCCCACTGATTTCTCTAGCAAATCATTTCCAGCAACTGAATTACCAGTCTCCTTAACTGGTGCATTTTCATTAGTCATTTCGTCAAGTGTAGACTCGATGGCTTTAATCAACTCATCAAATGCAAATGGTTCTTTTACTGAATAATTGGGCTCATCCTTTGAGTTATTCAGAGTTACATCAAATTCCACTGTCTCTTTTACTGAATAATAGGGCTCATCCTTTGAGTTCTTCACAGTGATGGTTCCAGCATTTGAAGAACTGGAGTTTCCATTCCCATAATCTAATTCCTTGGCAGACACAACGTGCACAACACTTGCATCTTTGCTCTCACCACTCTCCTCAGATTTTAAATCCGCCTCTATCACAACACGACCTTCCTTTCCTCCTTCGGCTTCATCAATCTTAATATCACTCGGGAGTTCTTCCAATGATTTGGCAACATTAGCAGATGATTGAGCAGAAAATTGGTCTGTGCTTTCCATCTCTTCATTGAACGAATGATCATGGTCACGATATGCAGGTGAACCACCCTCAACTCCATCACTTCCTTTCTCATCTTGGGACTTCAACTCATCATTTCCTAACATTTGTCATTGAATCAATCAATTTCAATACCATTATCAATCAACCAACCGAACTAACGTACCGGCCCAACTACCCCAAACACAATCAATCATTAAAATTTTCAAAGTTACATAGTAAAATCTAATCTTTTTGAATGATAAAGCCATGCAAGCAGCATATTCCCCAAAAAAAAAGTCCCAACAAGATTAAATGCAAAACAAGAACAATGAGCAGATACCCATCTACCCAAATTGACCAAAGACACCAAAAAGTAATCATATTTGAAAAGGATAAACCTTTGCATGCATAAAGTTCTGTATAATATCAGGGGACAGTACCTTGGGGGTTGTTGGTTAAAGGGTTGGCGTTGGTTTCTTGTTCCTTCTTTTTCTTGGCAGCTTTCCTTTTCTTAGCACCTGATGGCATGATTGTGGGGTTAGCTAAGGACAAAATTAGAGGCCACAAATGGTGGGAGTTATACCCTTCAGTAACCCAAATGTCTCTCTCCCCGGTGGGCACAACTATAAACACAGTTGCTCAGAAGGAGAAGGATGAAGAAGATAAGAAATAAAGGAAGAATCTTGGGTTTTGAAATTGACTTTAATGTAGGGGATGATGGGTCAGTGAAAAAGGCACTTCCTTTAATCCATGGTGACACATGGCTTCAGTGTTGTATATAAACAAATGCAGTGTCTGAAACTGTGAAGAGAAAAAAAAATGGCTATCTAACAGTTGTGACTTGTGAGGGTGAATTGTTATTATTATTATTTTTTTTTTTTTTTTTTTTTTTTGGGTACTATCAACTATGTATTGTGGAATGTTATTGCAAGGAGGCAAAGCCGGTGAGGAAACAGATTGTGTTTAAAATTTAAAATTTAAAATTTGGAATCTATCAGGGAATGGTTGTGCGTTGGGATGTGAGAATTGGACCAGACATTTCTTTTCCTTTTTTAATAATATTTTTGCGCTTTAATTTTGTGGTTTTTTTCCTTTTCTTTTCTTGGCAAACATTAATTGTGTAAGTGGGATTTGGGGACCGGAAATTGAGAGGTCTGCACTTGGCCAACTCAATTTGTGTCATGATTCATGAGATTAATCCCTAGTTTTTATCTCCACATAAATGGATTGATACGATTTATTTTTGCTATAATTAATTGATTTGTTTTTATCCACTTCACTTTTGTCCAATTTGTACAGGACATACATGTTGAGTGTAGACTCAAAACAAATTAATGTTTTCTAAAATTATTTGAAATAAAATTAATTTCGATTTTATATATTTTAAGTTGATTTAGAAATAAATTTTTCATATTTAAAATTCATTAAGGAAATATGAATTAAACAGGAATACAAATCAATTTAAAAATAAGTGATTTATTAAATTTTAATAATTTACTTAATGACTCTTATTTAAAATAAGTAAAATGACTAAAATTAATGAGGATAAAGTCTCAATTCAGATAATTAAAACTAAAATTAAATTAAAATTATTTTTGACTAAATTTGAGTTGATTTCATGTACTAAAATTTGAATGAATTTTAATATATATATATATATGAATTTTAATATATATATATATAGAGAGAGAGAGAAAACTAGAATTAAAATACTTTCCAAACTATATAAGTTTGTGTATTTAGAGAATTCTCAAACAAAAATTCATGTGTTGACAGTAATAGTTTGTTTCATAATTGGGAGGTTATAGTTACTATATTTTTTTCTTACTATATTTATTATCAAATCTTAATTATTAATTTTTGTCGATCTAATAGTTATAATTTATTAAAAATTAATATAATTAATTAATAAGTATGACTCAATAAATTTAAAACCGTTAGATTGACGAAAATTAACGATTAAGATTTAGTAGTAAGAGATAGTAAGAAAAAGAGGTAGTAACTATAACCTCCCCATCTAAAATTTTGTTCTTGAATTTTTTTTTAAAAAAATCATAGAAAAAAATAATATACGAAAAAAAATCTTACGAAAAAAATAAGAAAAATAATTGTGTCATATTGTATGAAAATACTTACGTCATTTTATAGACACAAGAGGACATATGTATATAACATGACCTAAGTATTTTTCAATAACATGACATGTATTTCTCAAAAAATAATGGCACAAGGGGAAATCATTCCCCAGATTTTTTTCGGAATGATTGCAGCTTTTGAACATATGAGTGTGAGTAGGATTATTTTCACAAATTTTTTTTTTATAAATTTACAAACTACATTACGTCTAATCGATAATATTCTACTCAAAAATATATTATCGATATAATTTGTAAGAACTTGTAAAAAATAAATTGTAAATGTAACATTTATCATTGTGCAAGTTAATGTGATAACGCAGTTTGAGGTCAATTTTTTTAAAAAAAAAATGGCTAGGATTATATAATTCAGAAATGCTATGTGCTCAGATTTGATACGTGTTTTGAATTTAATTGTTTTTCAATTTTTTTCTAGTAAAGTTTTTCTTTAATTATTAAGGCTGGTTTATTTTAAATTTTTTATTTTACGTATTTAATATTAATTGATTTTTAATTATTATATTTAGTTTTAGGAAACTTTTTTATGTGTATTTAATGCTAATTGGATGATAATTAATTATCATTAAAAAAAATTGACAAAAAAAATCAAGTTGGATTGATTTGTAATGGGTGTATTAAAAAGTGTGCATCAATGAAAAAAAAATTGATATTCATAATATTTGGAGAGACTAGTCCTAGTTCATGGTATTTGCTAAACTAGGTTTAATATTATTTAGCTACATATAAAAATTAAGTTGTGAGTTTGAATATGTTGACATAATTTGGGGAATTGATTATTTATTTTTTTTGGGCAACGAAAATAACTTAAACTTTTTATTTTATTAAAGGGGAATAGTTTTCATAGGAGAAAACTACCCCTTCTACAGAGACAATAGTATAAGGATTCTACCATTAATTTTTTTTTCACCTCATTATTTTGTGAACCCCGTTTGCATTTTGAGTCAGTGGCAGGAGAATAATTATTTCTTATAATAGAAGAAAATTATTCCTCATTATTAAAACCTAAATATAAGAGGCTTTATTTAAGAGTTGTTGGAATAGTTATGATTCAGTTAAATTTCAAGATTTGAATTGTTCAAGTATAACGAGTTCGATTATTGAAGGTACAGTTCGAAAGAAAAGTGAAAAAACGTATGCCCAAAATCAAATTAATCGAATCCATTAAAACTTCACATTAAAAAAATAGAGTTCACGCATATTCTTATCATCTTTCTTCAATCTTTCATTAATATTTCCAGTACTCTTTTCTTTTCCTATCTATTCGCCCTATTCACTTTTTATTTTATATTTTATTTTTTCTCACGTTGGCATTAGAAATGGTTTTTTTTCTCACATCCTTTTTCAATTGTTAACAAGTTTGGAAGCTTAAAAAATGGAGAGCAAGAATTGTTGTATAAGAAAATTAACTATGCAACCAGTTAAATATTACCTCGACGAAGTTTACCAACTTTTCAAAGTTTAAGAGAAATAAAACCCAACGTTTAAGTTAAATTTAAAAAGGGATTTGCATTCATCCTGTTATATGATGGATGAACAATTTTTCCTACAGAGATAAAATTATGATGTGGCCAATTTAAAAATAAATAAAATAAAAGGAAAGGAGGATTTTCTATGTATCAGCCAAATATGTTTTCATTGTCATGTTACATGACAATTGGATTTCCCATTTAAAAAACCACAAATCATTAGAGTTTATCTGACCATAGTTAAGACTATTATCAATTAACAGTTTTAGAAAACCCTGACGTTCAAGGATAAAGTGTTACAAATGACTAAATTTCTAGAGTAAAGTTTTACATTAGAAACCTCTGTTCAATTTAATATTTCAGAAGAGAGTTATAAATTACACCGAAGTACAGATGAAACAAAATGTTACAAATGAAACTAATATCTATTTTCAAAATAAAATTATTTCGCCTTATTTTTGTTATGTTAGACTCTTGAATTCTTTTAATTTTTTTTTTTTGTAAACTGAATTCCTTTAATTAACAAGGTCTTTGAGCTTAAAGTTGAGTTTTTTTTTTTTTTTTTTTCCATTTCATCTCCTTAGCTTTCCATATGTTGTTTGTTTAGTAATGCATTTTGTTCTGTATTATAGAAAGAAACTAGTATATTACCGTGCGATGCACGGGGAAAAAAGATCAAAATTCTTGTCGTCTGCCGTGGTTGGTTAATCGCACTGCAAACCTTATATTTACAAAAAAACTGTGTTGTTATTTTGTTCTATATTTCAGGTGAAAAAAATTACAGCATTGACACAGAGCTTTGCAAATATCAACCAAAAACAAAAATCTGTTATTCAGAGGGATAATTAATTTTGCATACAACTATATCGTAATACACCATAATACGTTATAATACACCATGTTAACATGAGAAATGGATATAAAAAGAAAAATGCGTACAAATCATTGCTAACTATAACATTCATCTACAAAATCAATGTAACAATAACACCAAGCAAATATGGATTTAAAATATCAGCTTTTACCTAAAATATGAAAACGTTATTCATTCAGTGTCATTTCTTAGCAATCATTGGAGGGATGAGTTCAACACTTACTAAATATGTCATTTCTTGTGTGATTTTCGTTCCTTGTGCCTACGATACAGAAGGAAAAAACTCATTAAATAAGTAACACTAATATGTTAACACCCAATAGTCATAGTATCAGGAAAAAAAAGATTGGATTAAATTTTTTTAAGGACCAAAAAAAATGTTGTCTGAACGGAATTTGAATGCAACCTAATCAAATAAGCATGTATAAGTCATATTTTTTGCTTACATTGCAACAAATGCATATGAACAAAATAAAAGCAACTACACTAATCTTTGAGATAGACTTTCATTCATTGCAATCACATTTAAAAAATAATAATAAATAATTATTATTTGCAAGGATTTGTGTAGTTAGTATTTAGAATTTTACAAATTTGTATTTACAAAAATAAAAATCAAATTTAGGAATTTAATTATAAAAGAAGGAGGATGAAATTTTAATTTAATTATAAAAATGTGTTTGTGGGTCGGCCCTCCGGGTCGAGTCCAGTTTTCCACCTCTAACTATCAGCATGTAAAAGGTTTTTATATTTATCTACAAAAAAAAGATTTTTATAGTTTCGTCTAGGTTTTTATATTTTATCTAAGAGATGAACTTTCATTTACTACAATCATATTTATAAAAAAATAATAAATAATTACTTTTTTGCAAGAATTAGTGTCGTTAGTCTTTGAAATTTCACAAATATGTATTTACAAAAATTGAAATCAGATTTAGTAATTTAATTATAAAAGAAGAAGGATAAAATTTCAGTTGAATTATAAAAATATATTAGCGAGCCGGCCCTCCGGGCCGAGCCCAATTTTTTACCTCTAACTATCAGCATTTTATATAAATAATTTTTTTTGCAAGGATTAGTGTCGTTAGTCTTTGGAATTTCACAAATTTGTATTTACAAAAATTGAAATCAGATTTAGTAATTTAATTATAAAAGAAGAAAAATAAAATTTCAATTGAACTATAAAAATATATTGGCGGGCCGGCCCTCCAGGCCGAGCCCAGTTTTTCACCTCTAACTGTCAGCATTTTATATAAATAATTATTTTTTGCAA